CTCCTAACCGACCGATCGCACCACTCCGTGTGTCTTCAACTTTCCCTCGCGCATTCCCCAGAAACAAATCAAAATTGCTGTTTGGGATCCATTGTAGGGCCTCATTCACCTCTTCCAGGAAGGCAACGTATGCCCTCACGGCAGCCAAGACCTGACTCGTTCGAATCCAAGGCGGATCAGAGCGACCAGTTCGCCGATCGGTTTCCATTCCAACGAGCTGGCGGTCAGCCGGGGACTAATGAGTATTTCCATCACCATCTGAGCAAACATGGTCGGGTTGACTCCACTCTAGTAGAGGGTTCGCTCGTCGTCTAGAGCGATGGAACCCGACCCTTTCCTCATGGCCCATGCTAATTAGGCGGACGATCATCTAATCGTCGCTCGCCAGCGACGACTTCCACGAGGTTTGGCTTCTTATCACCGAGTGATAGAGCGTTCAAAGTTTCCATATACGAAGCTCGTTGTCCGTTTCATTTAGGCCTTGGTTCCGCTCCTGGTCTTTCCCGAATGCATGGGGCCGAAGATACGCATATGATATAAGATATGACATGCGATAGGCCTACCGATAAGCTTGAATGTAGCACAATGGGGTCCGATGCACTCAGAAACGTCGGATTGTTTGGACCCGGTAGTCAGTTAGCTTATCGATAGTCATTCCCTAAGCAGAACGACAATTGCGATCTCAATTTTTCCTGTTGACGACCGATCCAGTAAGGAACTTCCAAGCCAAACTCGTCAGGCATTTTTGGTTCATCTTGGACATCCCTCAACGGAAGCACCTGTATGATGATAGCACCTAGCACATTGGGACTCGCGAATGAGGATGAATCTGTAGATACCGCAGGGATTTCCAACGTATGGGTCATAATCCACTCATGGGTCGATTTCGAGTTTTGGCGTGGGCTGCCTTGGCTAGCCAAAGCTAAAAAATCGCTTAGTTTTGTCGTAGATGTTTTATTCCCCACCTAAATGCTTTCTATTGGTCTCATGGGTCACGGAGTCTGGTCGAATAAGCTAAATAAGGTTCGTTCTGTATATCAGGTTCGGAGCCGCTGACAAAAAAAATCAATCATGGAGGAGTCGAGCGAGCTTGATGAAATTTGGTACACAAGCTCGAACTAGTGTAGCATGAAATCGATTTGAGTTTCAAGGGTGTGTGGTGAATAATCACGGGGAAAACTTGCCAATTTCTCCAATTCCAACAGCAGCTATGGTGTCATACTAATCGCCCAAAACGGTCACCTACGAGGATTTTATTGACATGGCAGGAAATATTTAAGGATGTCAAGAAAAGTTTATCAGTGTCTCAATATCATCAAGTCAGGATGAGGCATTACAGAGAAAACTTGCCGAATGCCCCAGGAATGGAGGAAGAGTGCGGCGCCAGAATCACATTTTCTTCCACTCCATCCACTTCTCTATAGGACGTGTGCTGAGAGACTCAGCATTGCGAGACAGTACCGAGATGGAATCTCTGAAGGCGATTTCAACAAGTTCTTTGAGCGTTTGATCGATGTAGGGCACTTGGAATGCTTGGCATGCATCAACTTGATGCATGCATCAGCCCGATACATTAAGCTGATAAATGCATCCCAATTTGCCTGCATCAATCAAACGCTCTAACAACTTGCTGAAATTGCCTTCAGAGATTTTATCTTGGCTCTGCCTCGCAGTTAGACTCTCAAACAAACCTCCTACAGAGAAATTCCTTGAGAGAAGGAGAAAAGGAAATTGGCGCCTTCAAGGGCGCCCTCCTCTTTCCCCCATTCCTCCGAAAATTATCAAGTTTTCTCTGCATTATTTCATCCCATGACCTTGAAACTTTGCTCGAATTTTCTACGTATCATCAGGAGTTTTCTTATCACGCTGCATCAATAAAACCCTCGTGACAGCTTCGGGCGATTATTATGATCCCATAGCCCCCGTTGATATTGGAGTGTTTGGGAAGATTTATCGTTATTAATCCCATAGCCCTGAAACTCTAGTCGATATCATGATACACTAATATGGACTTGTGCACCAAATTACATCTCAATCGTGCTTTTTGTTGGCAATGAATTAGGACGCCCCAATTTTGTATGGCCATAACTTTGTAAAAGACATTCGGATGAATCTGGAATCAGACAGAGAGGCTGATGGACCAATAAAGTATTCTATCATGTCCGTCAGGCGGCATGGCATGTAGATTGGGGGGGCGGGCATTAGTCACACGCAAGGGTAGACAATGGAGAAGAGGTCTGACTAAATTAGAGGAGTACGTCAGGCATTCACAATATTTCAATAACGATGCCAAAGCTCATTGAGCAAGAAAATGTCGCATTGATGCCGTGTTTTACCGACATAGAAACACTGTAACCCTATAGCCCTCCTTGCCAATCAGTCAGAACAAATCTCGTCACGGGCCCACGTTACTTACAGACAGTACGGAGAGTCGTTATCTGATTTGAAGAAACAGACAATTGGGGAGATTCATATTATAATAGTGGGACGCGGACTCCGGTTCGTTCATGTCATCCTATCATTGTATCATTTATACCCCTTCAATATTTTAACTCTGCACATGCGACCACCTATTTCGACGTGGAAAGCCCTTTGGCTGTCTCAAGGAACGTTCAATATCAAATTGTCGAAATCAATAATGACGAATGGAAAAAATGCAGACGGCGGTCTATGTCCATGTTTCTTAATGTCTGATGAACACCAGCCGGAGCATAAAAATGTCTATGAAGACGAAACGTGGAGTCGCGTCGAATAACCAAAGTAAACACAGGAAGCCACAAATGGCCATCAGGCTTCAGGCACGGCAGAGTCTGAGGCAATGGAGATGATTCCTCCCTCTTCTCGTACCTCGCATCGACCTGGGATCGGCTTTTAATCCTAGCAAGAGCATGGCTCATAGGTGGATTACACTCCCTTCTGCGATTAATTAGAGACTTCAATGAAACAGCAAATCGATTAACAACTTCTAAAGGCCACACGTCCTAGTCTCAGCTCTTGAACCGACACGACATCCGCCCATCACGACTTCCATGTGACTGCAGACCACGGACACCAGTGGAATTGGAGCTGCTGCCACGTCCCCCGCCCTTTCTCGAGCAGTCTCGCCCCCGCAATCAACTTCTTCCCTGTCTCTATGCTTTGGCGGGAGAGGTATCTCACCGAATCGACACTTTCAATGCTTTGGGAAAGACGTCATCCTCGTGGGATAACATTCTCGGAATTCCACTTCACGTTTCCTCTTATCATTCGATATGAGAGCATCACTCATTCGCTAAAGTGGAATTTCCACGTTCTACGAATTTCATTATCATTTATTTTGAATCAGACGAAAAGAATGCTCTTAGCTCTCTGGGCGCCCAAAACAACAAAAAGCTTCAACAAATAAACAAACAACAAATTACTCTCCTCTTTCACATGTTATCCTCTTCGACATAGTCTCTTTTTTTTCATTCTACATTTTATTCATCGACATTTTCGGCGTGGACCAGATTCGCGTCGACATTTCCCCTCATGGCATTCTGAAGCACACCTTTGGCGGTCACGGTAGACAACCTTATAGGTCCATCGATCTCTCTGTCAAATTTCGGTTGCATCCGACAGTTCCTTCCAGAGTTATAAAAAAAAAATCGTGTGGTTTCATATGTTGAGTCGATCGGAAAGTTCTGGCCGTTTCGAGAATTTTTCAGAAAAAAAAATTTCTGGAACTTTCTCGAACCTTCCGCAGTAGCAGTATATAAAGGGTGTGTGGGCGTGATTACGCAGCAGTTGCTTAGTCGTTCAAAGCCTATAACCATGACTTCCAAAAAGGTTCAACGATGACGCCGAGGTCGAAAACTGGCTGACTGATTTTTTCGACTCACGACCAGCTCAGTTCTACAGGGATGGAATCAGGAGTCTGTCTGATCGTTGGCAGAAGTTGATTCACTGTGATTGTGATTACTTCGTTGAATGAACTTTTTTGCGTTTAAAAAAAAACTCGGTTGTATGGAATATTCTCGAAACGACCAGAACTTTCCGATCGACCCAATAATAACCTTGTTGGCACGATTTAAATGCAATCCCGAGCGGTGCCTGCCGCTCTGCACGCCCGCACCGCGTTCGCGAAATCGGGTCGGCCTGGACCGAAGGATCCGCGGCGTTCCACGTCATTCGCCTGATACCGAGGGCGAAAGCCCATCGCGCCTGGTTTACTTCCGCGTCCAGACTCTAAGGTAAACAACAGAGATGAGAACCACACCCACGCCCTCACGCGCTCACGCATGCACGCGCGCGAGGAGGAACGATGAGGGTGTGAGCTTCTGCAGGAAACGGCTTCGCGAGATATTTCCAGCGGACGGATAAGGGTAGAGGATCATCATCTGTATGCTGGCAGTTCTGCTATCACTCCGGGCACTTGACGACCTATTAAATAGGCCACGGAACAGGGCTCTTCTTCAAAGGGCAAGCATTACGCTAATGGGGATTGAGAAATGCAGCATCCTAGTCTCATTATTTCCCAGAAAGGAAGTTTGTCCCTGGAGGACCGAGGAGCAAGCCTCGTGCATGGGACACGAGACATCTACTCGAGAATCCATTGTGAGGAGTAAGAGTGAAACATGGCACGCAATTACGCTACGAAGATCCCAACTCCGGCGGCGGCTCGTGATCTGTGGCAATGGCAGCTCATCAGCGGTGACAGGGGAGATCGGCCTACCCCATCTCCGACCTGCCCTATCTCCCACATACCCTGTATCTGACCTACCCTGTCTCCGCTGCCTCTGTTACAGATCACGAGATGCCACTGCTGAACCCCCGATTAGAAGTACTCACCGTTTAGTGGGGTTCCGAGGAATCTAATTAACTCGCGCGATGAAGACTACAAGGCTGCCATAAACACGAATCCAGCCTCATTGTCGGTCGACGGCCGTATCTTTCGTTAATGCTCTGCTGCTGCTTCTGCTGCCGACATTCGGGGTCGCGTATGAGAGTATTTCAAACGATACGAGGACGGAAAAAACTACCTGCGGTGTTTTCATAGTAGAAGTAGAAGGAAGCGAGACCAGAATAAACACTTTGGCATTCGGAGTCCTTAGAAAGGATTTTGATGTCGAGTCCCGGAAGAAGTTGTCGGTCATAGATCCTCCGACGAGCCATTTCGATCGCAGGTACCACGTTCAGCAGATTGTACTTGTGCGTCGAGGAATTGGGTCCGATGACGGCGAAGTGTAAGGTGCGGGGGAGCCGAGGGGGCCTCTGCAGAGGGGGATTCCTCATGAACTCCGGCAAGAGGAGAGGATCTTGATCCTCGCCTTTCGACTGACACTCCGAGCCACCAGACGGGTGGATGTGCATCGCGAGCACCGCGAGGGTGACGAGGAGGAGTGGAGTCTGCATGGTGGGACCAGGACCTCCAAGTCATAGTCTCCTTCGATGATCCACGATCATCCGCCACCAATGACACATCGCTGCTCACTGCTCGCGCGATCCATGCCTCTCTACATGCGTTGATCCGTCTTATCGTCGAGTGGTCCTGATAAGGCGGGAGAAAATGGCTTCTATTTCGTGCGGCGACGATCGAAGTCGAGTCGCGACTTTTCACGCCTGATTCCGACGCCCTCTCGCGCTCACAAGGAGGGCGTGGGTCCATGCGTTCTCGCGTGGGTCCACACTTTCTCGCGTGGATCCACACGTTTTCGCGTGATTTCGTGGCCATGCCTCCCACGAGTGCGAGGGAAAATGAGGGGAAACGACGCCCTACCTCCAGATAAATGGTCGAGGAACGGAAAAATGCGATTGCCTTCCAGGTTCGTGACTAGGGACGATCGCGTCACTCCACCTGGCAACATCGGGAGAGGGCGGAGGGGGGGGGGGGGGGGGGAAAGAGGAAAAGAGTTGCCGGGAACGGGTGAGAGGTAATGAAAGAGAATCGTTCTGACATCTCCTCGCTTCGCGGCACCGAGGGCGGGCACCAAGGTCATGCTCTGTCCGCTCTCATTACCGCTTCGCGGGAGCCGCGATGAGGCCGGACGGAAGCCAACTCCGAATTCTCTCTTTTCTTTCCGGAAAGCAGATTCCTCGATAGATTCCTCGATAGATTCCTCGATGGATTCCTCGGTGGATTCCTCGATGGATCCAAGCGAACCGATCGGGACGCATTCTCATGAATCGCATTTCAATGGAATCCGAATGAATTTCATACATAAAAATATACTTTCTTTTATGGATTCAGTTGCATAAAAGAGAGTCGGTCAGAGACGCCACGAAGAGGAGGAACTGACAGGCTATCGAATTCCGCATTTTCGCCTTTATTCCCTTCTTTTCCTCGGGAAATTTTTCGCCCTATCGCGCAGTCCCAGAATCGCGATTAGGCCACAGAAATCTCAAATTCCAAGCGGCCCAAAATAACGCACTGAATTTTTCCCGACGGGTATCGATCACCCCCTGCCCCCCTGCCCCCTCCTCCCTCGCCCAACCGGATGCGAGTCGGATGAGAGTCGGGATTCCATTTGGAAACGGTTCGGACCGGAGACAGACGAGATAACGATAGAGGAGATCCATCATGTCTCGAGGACTAATTCTCCGTTCCTTCGGGGCTTCATTACCCTCGCGATATGGCCTCATGGGAACGGATTTACCAGCGCCGAGCACCCGACCGCAAATCCCCGATCGCCCTCTTTTCCGCGATGGGAATCCGATGCTTCCATCCGGGAATGCTTCCATCCGGGAGATCCGATGCTTCCGATCGGGAAATCCAACTCTTTGTGTCGGAGAAAAAGCTATGCGTTTCCTCGGGAGCATTTTTCTTCGCGACTTAGCTTCATCGTCGGGGAATTCCCATGCGTCTTTTCATTCCTAAGCCTCTTTGCAGAAGAAGGAGCGTTCGCATCCCATATGAATGCCCCTCGCTAAGAAGCCTTTCGATCGCGAGGCTCATTTCTTTTGCGAGAAACGCAGGAGGATTATTTTTCCCAATTTTCTCTCCCTATTCTCCCGGCGAAGGTAGTTCCGCCCACTGTTTACTCGCGAAAGACAAACAGAAGAGATACCGCGCACGAGAAAAGCTTCTCTGCGAATTTTATGAATTTTTCGCGCCGCCTAAGTAAATCTGGGAGAAAAAAAAGGTGAGAATGTTTACGATCCGGCACGAGAGGAAATTCTTCCCCGGAGCCGATGAGAAATTTCGGGTAGCGAAGAAGCGAGTTCCGCGAAGAAGCGAGTTCCCCGAGGAAGCAAGTTCCCCGAGGAAGCAAGTTCCCCGAGGAAACGAGTTCTCCGAGAAAGCGCAGGAAACTCGGCTCGACAAGGCTATTCCATCATCCCTCCGAGGGGAAATACTTTTCTTTTTGCAGGAATCAGAGAGAAAGAAGGCAAAAGGGAAAGGTGAAGGTGGAAGATGGAAGGGAGGGAGCGTGGGAGGGAGGAGCCACAGGTGGTCCCAGGTGGTCACGAGTGGTCACGAGACTCATCCCAGCCTTATCGCCTCTCCTCGTTTCCCGGAGGCATGGCACGAACGCGCTGGCATGGCACGGACGCGGAGGCATGGCACGGACGCGAATGCATGGCACGAACGCGGAGGCACGAGAAACACGCACCGAGTATACGCGGTTTTCACTCCACCGGAAACGAGAGAACGGGAAAGAGTGAGGGGGAAGGAGGAAAGGGGGGAAGGAGAAAGGGGGAGGGAGAAAGAAAGCGGGGGGGCAGGAGGCGGAGGGGGTTTATATCCTTCCCTGCCCCCCTCGTGCGCAGGGCATAAACATCCCCGGTCCACCCACCTGTATACAATCGCTGCTCTTCCCTCTTTCCTCTTCTCTTATTTACATACATGCGATGTCTTTTTCCCCCTCTCCTTCTCTCCTTCTCTCTTTCTCTTTTTCTCGTCTGTCACGGACGGAGCCGCGGGAGCGGGGCTTCACCTGTCGCATTCGCTGTCGCACTCTCGACGTCGCTCCTCGCGGCGCAGAGGGAATCGCCGGGGGATCCTCGTGTCCATCATCCTCGTTTTATCGCACTTACGGGAATCGATCAAACTCCATGAATATTCCACGTCCTCTCGAGTTGCATTCGGCTCTCTTCGTCCCTTTCGCGACACGATTCGTGAGTCGAAGCCGCAAAAGAGCCTTCTCGACATCACGAAACGTTCCCGACGTCACAAAACGTTCCCGAAGTCACAAAGCGTTCCCGACGTCACAAAACGTTCCCGACATCTCTCTCTCGGGATCGGGAAGGAAAAGGCAGCCTTCGCTTCCCCACGAAGGAAAGAAAACGTCATTACCTGAATGAGAGTTTATTTATGGTTTCTCAGCCGGGATCATGCCAGGCACGTATCGATCCCAGAGGAAAGCTAAATCGCATTGATTACAGAAAATGAGGTGTGTTTATCTTCGGTAAAAACGAATCGTGGCATCACTCACGTCATGCACGCGTGATCGCTCCTCCTCGCGTGATCACTCCCCCCCGCGATCGCACCCCATTTGATTTCCCTGGAAACTATTTTCCCCGGCGGAACCGGGGGGAAATTCCTCGCATGAGTGCGGGGCATCGTGGCTCAAGTACGATGACGACCGCGATGAAGACGATCATTCATGGTTGTTTCTGGAGGGATTAGCCGACATCAATGGCATGGACTTCTGCCAACTTCTCTTTTTTTTTCTCCCCGTTTCCTTTCTTTTCTTCTCTGCTCCGTCTCCTCGGGATCCTCCATTCGATAGACATCGTGACCCCCGCCTGGCACAAACCCCCTCTTTTCTCGCCGGCGCAAACGGCGATTCGAAAATCCTTCTGCACGATCGCGTGCGATAGATGGAGTGGAACCGAGGTAGATTTTTGGGACTTGGGAATCCTCGCGATCCGACGGGAATGGATGGACCGATCTGCCGATTACGGAGAGAGGATGAAGGGGGGGAGGGGGTGAGGGAGGGGAGGTAAGGAATTCCCGGAGGGGCGGGCGACATCTAAAGGAGAGAGTCGGATGGACTCGGATGAGGCTACGAGCTCGGAGATGTCCTTCTGAGCCCGAAGATGTCCCTCGGACTCGGATTCCGAGCCTGCGTAGCGCGCAGGCGGGGAATCCAATCGGATCTGCGGGTCTGCATCGCGGGTTTCACCCGATCCCATCCACTCGCCTCATACCTCCTCCACCCACTCGCCTCCTGCCTCCTCCATCCACTCCATCCTCGACCCTTCTGCCTCTCTCATCCTCGTGGTCTCTCGCGTTCCTCCCTTTTCGACGTCCAATTCGTGAAGCGACGGACGCACTCACCGTAGAATGCCACGAGGGCGAATCGTGACCTTTTTATTCGGCGGCTGATATCGAATCGTTGGTGTGAACCCACGCCACTCGCCTCCGCTCGGATACGACGTCGTGCGATCCGCCGAAGGAGAAGCCCAAATCTTCGCCTGCAGCAGCGACAACATACTTTCTACGATACCGTACATTCTGTGGCAAAAAAAAAGAGGAACGCGAACCATGACGTCACATCCATTTTCGCAGAAGCGGTCGTGACGACAATCCAACCGTCACTCGTCTCGGTCGAACCGACTCCACAAAAATATGGAAAAAGCAGGGGGTCCGAGACGATCGTCGTCGGGATCGAAGCGGAGATGATCCTGGCTGTCATCCGTCTGACATCCGAGACGAATCGGCTCGTGTAGAATACCGAAGGATATCTGGGAATCTGTCGGGAGTGATGGACGACCTGCTGGTGATCCGACGTCCCGTCCGATCCATTCCCATTTTCATCTCGCTCTAAAAATCTTAGAAATGTCGATGGGAAAGGGAAAGCCCCAGTCGTAGAACAGCCCATTCCGCTCCAGCGCATTTCGACTCGGTCCTATCCAAAACTTAGGAACTTCGTTGGACGGAATGGAAAACGGAGAGCCGGGAAGGAGCCAATTTCGGCACCGTCGGCCGATTGCGGCCCAAGGGCCTTCGCCGGATATTGGAAGGTTTTGAAGGTGGTGATGAGGTCGCTGCCGAGATCGTCTGCGTCTTTTATTTACCGCAAAAAGGCGTCGAGGTAGATACAGCGCATTCCGAACGACGAAACTACCCATTCGGCACCACTACGTCGTGTCAGCATTGACAAAAGGTTGAAATGTCGAGACATGGTTCAAGTTGAGAATTCGGCGAAGAATCAACAGCAATGAAATTTGTGATTAACCGCATTGGTCCGAGGAAACACCGAATTTTCCTACCTCACTACATGGCGCATTTGTAGGTTCGGGTTCTCGTATCTCATTCGAGAATGACAGAGCGTGTTAATTGGCCTGCGATGGTGTATCTGACTCTTCTCCTGCATGGAGAATGAGTTTAGTCATTCAAGTACAAGTGTGTACTTACAGCACGTGAGCGTATTTTCAACGTTGAACTGTGTTCCATATCAACATTGCGGCAACTTTGAATCCACCTTTTACACATTGTTCAACATTGCTGTGTTGAAAAATCAATCCTCGCTCAACGTCGACACGCCGTTGTTGTGCCGAATGGGTACGTTTGCGAACCTTCTCCACGGGATTTGACTGCGAAATATTTGCTGGAAGTAGAGAGGG